TCCAGTCGTGAAGGCACTCGATGATGGGCAATGTCGTGTAGAGGCTGAGTGCTGCAAGCGCGCGGTATTGCAAGGACGGAGATATATCGGCTTGAATCTTTGCCGAGATGATTCATGCGATAGCCTAGAACTTCGCGTAGTGCTCACGAGAAAGCCTCTTACGCGCGATATCTACTTTCTCGTCATGTACAACGAGACGCGAACGGTATATGCGGCGCAGGGCGCACCCATGGCCGCAGTATCAAATTCCCAGACGCTCACGTCGATATTGCATTCAGAATCCTCACGACTTGTGTTTTGCTACTCATGCAGACGGGAGCGCAACTGTTCAGCCTCTTGATGAAACGATACGGTAGAGGCGTTTATGACTCAATAATTATTCCCCCCTCAGGTACCAAGCAAGCTAGGCACTCCAATGGGGTACTGACCGAGGTCGTTACAGCGCTGGATTGACGACCGGCAGTAGCTCCGACCCCACGCGCATGAGCGGAGGAGAATCTGTGAGGCTGTAGTACGCCCCGAACGGAAAGGGGGCTATAGTTACTCCATGATATGTCCTTGTGGTCAGCACTATCGCTCCATCTCTCTCGGCTGTTGGGTAGTTGATCTACAGCGCCGATTGTTGACATCAAGAGACGCGCGACGAGTGGTGAGTGAGATGCGCCAGTGGAATTGTACGTGCATTGTCGAACCGTCGTTGCTTGGAGCTGTCGCATCATCCCCTCGATGCGGGGTGGGTCGTGGAGAAAGGGTCGTTATTGCCGATGGAAGTAGCCTGCCCATGACCAGATAATGCTCTTGTTGCAGTGACACGCAAATGCGCCGTTCACGCACCCTCCCGCACATGTAGAGGTTGTGTCCATTGTTGTAGGGGGTCGGAGGCGATCGAGGGTGGCTGATGATAGGTTGTACAGCGTTGAGGAGTCTCTGTGGCGTGACTGGAGCACAACAGGGTGGTTTCCTCCGGTACGAGTTGGTCTCGTTCATGTCTGTAATCGCGTAAGCCAGTGCCACCGGCGACATGCCGCCCTCCCTGGAGACGGACGTGCCAAGTGGGCATCTGGTGATCTCGGCCGCGCAGCCATGGCCGAGTGCGATGTGGACGTGCCGGTTCAGTGGGCGTGGATGGGTTGACCAGCCGATGACGTGAAACGCGATACCGCTGTTGAGGTTCCGGAACGAAGGACCGCTGGTGGCAATGGTAGAGGGCAATGCGGTGCAGAGACACCTGGGCAGCCTTCTAGTGCGGCTCTCGGTCGGCCACGTGGGGGATGGTGGAAAGTCTGCTTGGCACGGCGCACAGACCCCCGCGGCCATCGTCATCATCGCCAACCACCTCGCCCTCCCCATCTCAATTACCACAGAAGATTCTCTCCACCTTCACGCCAAACCCATCTGTTCCTGCAAATGTGGTGGAGTGCGACAGATCTTTCATCTCATATGACCAAGAGCTGACCCTTCGCCACCCTTAGGTGCAGTGCTGTCCTCTTCTTCACAATGGCCATGAACCATCCAGTTATCTGGTCTCGACCCGTGCACCCTCTGATACGCCTTACACACTGAACTACATTCGACACCTCCTCAAAGAACATCGCCTAGTCATTCCACTTTTCATGCAATGCCACGAGCACGCGGCTGGGTTGCAGGCCACAACGCAGTTGATGCGATCGATATGTCACCAAATATTCGGATTGAATCTACAAACTCTTACCATGTTCATTGCATCAGAAGGACAGGTATTTTTGCGCCTCGCTTGTGGATAGAGCAGTGCCTTCACCCCGCTATCTGTCGCTTTTTACTTCCCATGTTACACGACTGATGGCAGGCTGCATGTTTCAATCTCAACCACGCAATGGCATCTTGGCACCGGCGCGCTCATCAAGCAAGCAAATCCGTCATCTCCTCGATCGTTTCTTTCTACCTGCGAGCCCGCCATTCGCACGGCCTATATCGTCTCATATACTGTGTCGCTTTCTCCACACTCTCGGATTACTATTCAACAGCGTTTGTTTGGCTTCCAGACGATTCACGCCCTTCTGGTGAGCCTACGAGAGTTTCAAAGTCATGTCTGGTGCTGTAAACGCATCCGTCAGACACATTAAGCATTGCCCGTTACAATGCGACCAGTCAATGAGAAGTACTAACAACAATCAATGTAGCAGTGCCAGCGCCGACCGCTTCCGCCATCGACATCGATGCGTATCATCGCGCAAGCATCAACAAGCCGCAGCCGACCACCGACAATCGAGTATCGTCTCCTCTCCCGCACGCTCGGTGCCTCTGCAAACCCCTCGCCTCTCTAGCTCCACCGTTTCCATCCCTTGGACTACCGCTACATATCGATAGTACTGCATCTCCACCTTCAGAAACATGCCTGCGTATCCGCGATTGTCACTGGGACCTCCGGCAGATACGGTGTCGATACCGGAAGTCACGGCGCATCCGATCGATTCTCAGACACTTAGCTTTCTCAACATATCGGGTGAGGCACGTAACATAGTCTACGAGCTGCTCTTCGAATTTGAGCAGCCGATAGCACTCTCTGTCCCGCCATCTGCGCATGCATCTCAGAATTCTGTCGCTCCAGTAGCGCTACTTTCGACATGCCGGCAAATATATCATGAAGCTGTCGGCATCTTGTACACCCGCAACCGTTTCCTTGCCGCGACCGCATCGGGTTCCACACGGTTATCTGCCTTGAACCACACAACCAGTTGGATTCTGGGACTGGGATCACAAGCAAGGCATCTTCGCCACCTAACCGTACACGTCGTCCACCGCGGTCGCGACCTGAACGAGCTGCAATCGTTTCATCCGGTTACCACATCAAACGCACGGCTTTTCGAGGTCCTACCCCTGCTGCGCGCGCTCTGGGAACTTCGCTTGGACCGGTGTCACATCAAATAAGCTCTTGCCCACCAGGATTATGCCAATGATCTCGATATAGACCGGTCAGACGCGCTTTGTGCAGCAGACGCCACCTTTGCTGCTGTTGCCTATGGACCAGTCGCTCTGACTACACCACGAAAGCTGCTCGCTAGCGTCCAAATTTCTTCATCCGGCACTTGCCTTCTTCGATTCAAGAGCTCAACAGAAGGGCTCGTGAGCTCCGTCGAGTGTCTTACACCAACAGGTGCATGTGCCATGTCGATCGAATGCCTCCCTGCGGAGCTTCGTCCTCTTCCTCGTCTCGTCAGACACCCAGCAAAGAAGAGCCAGGCGAGTTTGGCGGGTCTTCCCTTCAGCGTACAAGGTAGCATCGTCTCGGCGTACATGGCGATTGCGAAAGAGCCGTCTTCGGCAATTGAAGTAGACCTTGGTATGCGCCAGATACGTGGTCTCGAGTACCTGCACGCCTTGCTTGCTCTGAATCGCTCCTTTCGGCTGAAGGCGCTATCCTCCATCACAATGCTGGCCGAACCAGTAACGGTGCGCTTTCCGATGAATACCACCTCTAAGGATGATTCGGGTTTCTGGGACCTCCTTCGCTATGTACGCGAAGATGCCAGAGGTCCTGATCGCTTCGATCGTTTGCACTGGGCATTGTTGCGTAACAGACATCTGAGCATTTCTGTGACCTTGCAGTCCACCCCTACGACCCTGCGCAACGTCGAAATAGACGTGCATGGCTTACTTCAAATCGAGATGCTTACTTCAAATCGAGATGCGTCGCGAGTGGTCGTGGCCTGTGGACTTTCCTCGTCCAGATATCCCCATATGTGTGCAACTTGTGCATGCACCTGGCAAACACTCCGGCCTCCAGAAACTGCATACACGTCAATTTCTCCTTGGGCAGTTGAATCAGAAAATGCTATTGCTTCTGCGCGACGCCATCCAGGCATCGGCAATTCATCACCGCCACGGGATCAAAGTCAGCAGGAATGGCCACGGATCAACTCCGCCAGCCAATCCCGCAATGTCGGAATACTGCAAGAAGTCTGGAGTGACGGCGCTCGACTGGCTTCTCACGAGAGGCGATCTACTATTCTGAATGGACGGGTTCGGCGAGCCTTTGCGTGTAGACTTTGCTACCTCTGCCGGTGATGTCGGGTTCTCGGTGCCTTACTCGTATCCTGGACTAGCCAATAAGGCGCTGCGCAACCAGGTAGACCGCCACTTGGACGAGGAGTGTAGTCACTTTGCCAGAGATTATCAAGAGGGCGTGCACCCAGGTCTCTACAAGTTGTATCACGCACAGGCTGAATGGGTACGTCTTCACTGTCCTCGAATTGGCCGTGATCAACGTCACCAGTAGCTACACCCTATTGCAGTCGACTTGAACGGGTCTCATTCGTATTACCTTTCCTTCTCTTTCGTCTTCTTTTCCCATCTCTACCTTCTTCTTGACTTTCTTTCCAGTTGGAGGTTGGATTAGCTCAAAAGTCGCAACCGATCAGACTGCATGTATCAACCGGTATGTGTACGCATAGTTTACTTACCATAGACCGATGACACGACGACGACCATCAGACTGCCACCATCATGGCCCGCGCGAGATTTGGAGTCAATTTGAATGCGCAGCGCGAGATGAAACCCGACCTCAGCCTGGGTCGAAAACCATGTTCTGCCTGCCCCAGCTCTGGTACATTGTGAACGCATTTGGTCAAAAGTTCTTTGTTTTCATGACGACAGCCATGTCTTTGGCTGACATCGGGACTTCGCTTGCGCGCATGGGGGTCAAGTGTGAACACACACGCTAGTCATGACCGTCTCACGGTCTAGCGCCACGACCAAGGCAATACCGTGCCGCGGACTTCCCTGGCCTTGATCTGGATGCTTGACAAGTATAAGTATCTATATAGACGCACATAGGGACAGAGTTAGCGTAATTCCTCAAGATCCTGAAGGGCCAACTCCCGCCTGCGTTCACCAGCGATTCTATAGAGCAAGCCTCGACATTGCCAGTCCACTCCATCGCTGACACAGGTACGAAAGATCTCATGGATCTGGCTGGCCATGACCCTTTCGCGCCCGCTACGAGCACCCGTTCCATGCAGACAATGGAGCCAACGAAACCTTCCACCAGTCCACAAACCGACACTGAAGACTTCGATGACATCGCAGCAGCGATCAGTCTGATGATGATGCAGACTGCCGACTCGGCCAAAGACAAGTTCTCCTTGGACAACGATCACTCCGGTACCCTTGAAGCTCCCAAAATTCCCTCCATACGGGTGACAGAACCGAACAAGAATGACATATCGTTGGAGACAAAAGACTTTGGAAGTTTTATCGCAGCTACAACAACAAGGAGAGCGCTCCCAATTCGCATCCCTTCCATATTCACCAGTCATCGCGTTGCTGCTGGCTCTCCCACTCTCAGCTTTGCGCAACAATCCACTGTGGTTGATGAACAGCTGCCACTGGCCTGGCTCCAAGACATGTCCAACGGCCCTGAGTTCGGTGGCGGCGATGTGACCAATTGGGATGACCCCACACCGGAATGCTTTTCCGCACCGCCGTCTTTACTGGAGCGGACTCCAATATTGCCAACGCAAGCGGCTATGAACTCAACTCACGACATATGTCTTCCATTGGACAACGCCACTTCCATAAGCCTGTGGCTCGACGATATCAGCAGTGGGTACACACCTGAGTCCTTGAGTTCTTCTCTACCATCACCGGAGGAGCGCGCAGCCCCATGTTCGAGCCGAGAGTACGACTCGTCAGGGCTATCTCAATTATGCGAATTGCCTACGATTCCACCGAAGAAGCGCAAGCGCTCGTCCTCCGTCTTATCAGATGTCCAGTGCGCACGGCGCCCGTCATGGAACCAACCTTGGCCCTCGTCATCCATCTTACCGGACCATGACGTTCCAGTAAGTCACAGTACGGTCAGCTGGCATCTCTTTCTCCCATTATGGGTCATTGCTAACGCAGCTTGCAGCAGTTCGCCTATCCCGATATGGCAAACGATATGCATGCGATAGAGAGCCTATGGGAGGGCCCAACGTGGGTGGAGCAGGCCGACGACGACAACCACCATGTGAACGAAGCCTCCTTGAACCATGCGACAGGTACGGTGCTGTTCGTACCAGAAAGCCAGCTTCAGCTTGGGAGCGACGGCTGCTACACATCGGCTAAGTGGTTGGTCTAGAAGGGGGGCGAATCAATTGTACAATACCTAGGTAGTCTCCTGTGTTTCTATAGGTATCAATGTCGTTTGATCGTATTCGGAATGGTTGCAACAAATTACGTCAAATTGTGAGTTCCGTACTAATTTACTTGCTCCCCCTTCGATTCTTTGCCACATGCGAGACGGTCATCAGTGAAGCGCCGACAATCTGGGCGACGAAGACTCCGACCGTATCCTTGAATCGGGGTACAATCTCATAGAGACAAATTGGCAGAAGCCGAGAAGTTCCAGCCGGCAGTGAACCTAGAAGCTCTCATCAAAGCGTCAATACGATCGGGGACGGATGCGGGCATTGCTGCGGCACTCCACACCCAGCTCTACTGGATGCACCAACACCGTCCTTCTTTGCAGAAGCCTATCCTCGCAGCCATCGTTTTCACGGGTGGATTTCTGGCTGGCTGACGCGATGGAACTACTATCCACCCCGATAGATGCTCGAACCAGTCAGGAACCGGGCCAGACCAGCATCGTCGTTCTTTGCAGGCTGTCGACGTTGCGAACGATTGCAAAGGGCACGTGGCATGCATTATGCTATACCGTAGTCGCTACGTACTAGTATTTTTAGATTATCTGCTCTTAATGTCTCGCATTGTCGTCGCAGCGACGCAAATTCTGAGTCGCTACAGCCACCTGTACAGTCGTCCCCAATGTCCCCTGGTTCTCACTGAATCGACCCTGGGTATGCGCAGTGCTTGTCAAAGTCACTCTCGATGGGTCGGGGAGATCTGATGTCTTTGCGCAGAGCGTACACGATCGCATAGAACCAGGATGCGCAACAGTAAAGCCCCTCACAGGCGGTTCCAAAGTTGTCGGGCTCATGTTCGGGTCAGGTTTCAGCGCGTGCCAACGCCACATCCGCCATCGTCAACAGAAGACCCAAACTCGTCACATGTTCCTCATTGATCAAAATACAGGCAGTCTGCCAGCCGTACTAGTTCGCTTCGATAGACCATTTCGTTGTTGCTACTGCTCAGGCTTGAGCGCGTGAATCTCGGTGATGTGTTGAACTCTATCATGACGCTCAGCCATGACCGGGATAGCAGCGCGCGACCCGCTTAATTGCCGAAGCGAACCCGGGCACCCGTGCTATTCCAGGCACGACTTAGCGTGCGGTCAGCCGCCAGCTGCATCTACAACGTCATCTCACCATCTTCAGTGAAGCTCACGCCATATCCTTTCCAAGATGTCTTGAACACGCTCAACCTGTGATCAATTCCCGGTTCCCAACAGCGATACTCCAACGATGCGACATTCAGCTCATCTGTCTTCTGATCTGACGAAGCACATACAATAACACGCGCGAGTTTGCAGCGAGGAGACGAGGCTCACATCCATACGACTGGGCAGAACTAGTCCGTGAATACATTCATATCTTAGCTGCGTTACCAAGTATATGCCTTGTTAAGGCTTACAAATTGCTCTTCGCTGTTCATTGTAAGCTGCAGGGCTGTCTAGTCTCTGCCTTGTATCAGGTATCTAGATCTTCCACGGATACACTAGCGTCCACACCGGGCGCCTTGAACACGATGGGAATAGAGTATGGCTCAAGAGTGGTACTACGAAGACTTCGATGTGCAGTTCCATCAATATCTCAAAGAGCGCTTCTGGTTCAGCGCGAGAGGGTCAACCAGGCCCGAAACCAGCCCCTTCACCTTTGGTTTTTCATTCTGGGCATTCCAAAGTGACCTGGAAAGATACCAGAAAGAACTGACCATATGCCACATACAAGACTGATCGTGACTACTTAAGCTTCTACTACTCATCTCGTCACCAAAACCTTTGGCAACATCATGAGCACCACCGCTACCATCACAATGCTGGCGTCTGCGCAACATCACCGTGTAACCACCCCAGATTCCACTTCAACCACTATCAATCGCGCAATCTCAAATTCACAACGTTATCTACGAGCACCTCACAGAGAGAGAACACGCAAAACCGACTTCGTCATCAAAGCCGACAACTCCAGGACGAATTTTCAGACACCGCTACCGCAAAACAAGGGTGCACGCGTCCCGCTGCGCGAGAAGACCAACCTCGCGAATGCGGTGATAGCACCTGCATATCGCCGCGCCGCCACTCCTTTCGTATTCAGTGCCGCCGATCCTTTGTGGGAAGATAACGAGAACTACACGAGAGACTACATGGCGGGTCGTCTTACATCACCGCTGCATCGCATATACGCAACACTACCGTCGACCGTCTCGACTCGCTCCAGGTCATCACGACGGGTGAGTAGGTTAGCACCTTTGTATACCCCAGCTTCCACCCCTCATCGCCGCACAACACGACGTCAGATATCTACGCCAAAGGCACCAGTCGTACCGACATCCATACCGATCCGAACTGCGATGCACAGTCAAGTCAATGCTTCCTCGTTTGACTGCACGACCTCGTTCACACAACCATGCATACTGCCGGCGCAACGCGTTCATCATCCCATCAGCCCCCCGAAGACGGTATCCAATGGTACATCATCCTCTCTTGGCTCATAACGCTACTTCGCCATCAACACATGTTTCGATGTACGAGCCTGCTGGCGATCGCGCGTTCCGCCCACCAATTGTCTCTTCGCCGATCGGATCTGTTCACGAAGCGCCGGCGACGTATGCTCGGGGGTACAACTAGCTCAGCGCAAATCAAGCATAGGAGGACGAGTGTATAGCCGCGTTTCTAGTTCGTAAAGCAGCAGTCGCAAAGCGAAGGGCACAGGAACAGTTGGAGGATCAAAGATGTAATCGTTTTCTTATCGACATAGGTCAATTGCGAGCGCGTATCTGATACCTGCCTGGAGTTCCTTTGCAATGAGACCTTTTATGACGATAGTCGTGCTATAGCACGGTCTTGTACTGAGAGTTGCGATGTACGTTTGCCAAAATCTCGTCATTTTGATATGTTGCCAACTTCATTACACCTAGCCTTTCCACCCGTGTCGATGCTAATCATCTCGCAACAAAGACACTGGGAGGAAGAGCTAACCTCCTTGCCTGGAAAACTAATCAAATTCTCTCAAACTCTGCATGTTCACTAGCCATTCGCATCATATCCACCCATTCCTCTTTCGTCTTGCCCTGAAACCAGCGTTCCTGTGGCAAAAACCTCATTCCGCCATCCATATTTCGTTGAATCTCATCATCCATCTCGTTTTGAAAAGCGGCATCATTGAGTCGCCAACCTGATGTAGCCGGCATATCGTCTTGGAACGGCAAGAATTTCTTGATGTGGTTGTACGCTGCGGGCGAGTCTGGCCCCCACTTTTCGTGCCCACTGTTACCAATATATAGTCGGTTGCACGATGACGGCAATTTTTCGGCTACATCGCTCCACTTATACCCCACGGTAGCGAGATAGATGTACTCAAAGCGAGCATATCGCAATCGCGGCTGTCGGGATAGAAAGGTGATGAGAGACGGTGTGTCCAGGACCAAACTTCGTAGCTTCAAAGTTGTCAAGGCCGGAAAGACTAGCGGTGTGATGTCTGCTGAGTCGGTGGCATTGCCGCTACCAAGGAGCCTTGCGATTTTGTGCTCGCCCACATCCGGTAGTTGGGGATGTGATGTGGTCATGTTGCGGAACTCGAGTGTTTGTAACGTTTCCGATGAGAAACGAATCAAGGTAGCGAGGGATTCAGCTTCGTTGCTGGATGAGTCAAGCATGAAGTCGACACTCTCGGCGTTTAACGAAAGTGCAGTGAGAGAGCTGAACATGTGTTCCAAGGCGGCACTTGTCGTGATTGAAGATGGATCAATCTTGGGGAGAACCAGACTCTGGATGCGACTGTTCGACGCTTGAACGGCGGAGCATAGGAGTTCAAGGTGCTTCCAGGTCGTGCCGCATCCAGAGAACTGCTCGTCCACTTCATCGCTGACTGCGTTAGTTTGGTGTCATGCAAATCATGTGGCCATACTCACTCGCCGCCCTCTTCGAATCCATAATCACCCAAGTCACAATGCCACTCTTGGACTTCGATAGCTTTCAGGCACGGCATATGTGCGAAGAGCTTGACCATTGCTGCTAGAACCGCGTCTGCCCTTACGCGCTGCTCCTCCACCTTGGCGGCCCAGATCGCTTCCGCCTGCTCGATCAATTCGCGCTCTCTATCGGGTCTTGCTAGTCGTTCCGCGGCGAGACGACGAATTCCGGCATACTCACCTTCAGAGTCAGTTTCAAAGTCTTCTTCATCATACATTCGATGAAAGTCCTCCTCGTAATCTTGCTCACGCTCTAGCCAATGGCGATACCTCGACCAGAACCCTGGGAGAACAGTCAGTATCCGTCTGGCTATGGATGAATATCCATCGGCTGAACTTACCATCTACGTAGTATTTGGGACTAAACTTGAGCTTCCGAACATGCCGCGCAATGTCGTGCGCAATGAGCTCATCCACGGTACTTTCCAAAGAAACCAACTCCACCGTGCGTGAACGACCCGGGTACATGACACACTCGTTATTCTCCATCCTGCCAAATCTGCTCTGGGGAGAGCCATCTAGATGAATTGTGGCGAACATCAGCGGCCTCACAATGGTCGCAAAAGCGCGACATGTTTGAGATACTGAGCGCAGGTGGTGCTGGGGCAAATGTGAGAAGATCTCGAGGTAAAGTTCGTCGGGCAGTTCCATGGTGATCTGTGGTACTAGAGACTAGGGAAAGACAAACGAGCGCTATATGTACAAAGAGCGTGCGGTCGGCAGCAGCGCGGGCGTGACTGCGCGATGGTTTCGCGATATTAGCCTGTTCGCGCAAGGCACTAAGCAGCAAGGCAGCAATCTCGAAATGGGACACTTATATTGACGACGCGGCCCGATTTCATGAGTGCGTGTGCAGAGACACGATTATTGGTGGGTGGTGCATCCAGTGTTGGTGATGAGGACTTGGTGCCAGGCACCAGCAGCGCCTAAGATTCGGCGAGAAGGTGCGGGGCGTTGGTGGCGCATTGCGATAGTAGCGGCAATTCATGC